TTGCAGCCTGGAATTTATCCACACCCTGCTGGTTTTATCTGGCCAGAGGAGAACTGGCCCTTTGACTGAGTTTGGTCCTGAGTGACTACCAAGGTTTTATCTCCATTTGTGTCACCGATGGAGTTTCGGTGCGCTCACATCACAAAAGCATGCCTCCGCACCATACAGCAGACAGCAGAAGAAGTCATCTTAAAGGTATTTAGAAGAAGTCATCTTAAAGGACATTCGTGTTGTGAACACCATTTAACATGGCCATTACAAACACACAGACCTTTGAACTGGGACAATGTGAAAGAAAAGAAATCAAGGACATGAATTACTGAAAGCTCAGTTCTTGAGATATCAACCTCAAATTTGAAACACAACTTTAGATTTATTGCTATGATTTTAAAGTAAAACATGTTTTGGAAAAGATGAATCTAGGCAGAAACAGAAACACAGGCAAAAACCGAACACAAACTAGTGTACATTTATGGCTCTGACCCAGCTCTTTTATGTGAATGATGGGAGTTGGCCTTTTTTTTTTTTTGCTTGTTTGTTTGTTTGTTTTTTTGTAAATTAATACAAGACAGAATAATATGATTTACTATTATCATCATACAGCTCTGGAAAAAAAATTAAGAGAACACTGCAAAATTATCAGTGTTATTTCTGGTTGTATTATTTATAGGTATGTGTTTGAGTAAAATTGACATTTTTGTTTTATTCTAGAAACTAGTGATAACATTTATCCCAAATTCCAAATAAACATATTGTCATTTAGGGCATTTATTTGCAGAAAGTGAAAACTGGTTAAAATAACAAAACAAAAAAAATGCAGTGTTCTCAAATAATTCAAAGAAAATAAGTTCATATTCATTTTAAACAACACATTACTAATGCTTTAACTAAGGAAGAGTTTAGAAATCAATATTTGGTGGAATAACCCTTATTTTCAATCACAGCTTTCATGTGTTTTGGCATGCTCTCTACCTGTCTTTTCACATCGATGTTGGGTGACTTAATGCTACTCCTGGAACAAAAATTCAAGCAGCTCGGCTTTTTTGATGGTTGGTTACCATCAATCTTCCTCTTAGTCACATTCCAGAAGTTTTCAATGGGGATTGGGCTGGCCATGACTTTGATCTGGTGGTCTTCCATCCACACCTTGATTGACCTGCCTGTGTGGTATAGAGCATTGTCCTGCTGAAGAAAAAAAAAAAAACATCTTCAAAGTTGGGGAACATTGTCAAAGCAGAAGGAAGCACGTTTTCATCCAGGACAACCTTGCACATGGCCTTGCTAAAGCTCCCCTAGATCATCACAGATCCTCCATCAAATTTCACAGCATTTCACTATTTCATCTAATTTTTATAGAATCTGTCATGAGCTACATCACAACTGAGATTTTTATTATAACTTAATAATAGAAGGTTCATGAATATACAGTCTTATGTTGTGCTGTTTCAATGTCTCGTTTGAGTTCTGTTGTGTTGTATTTTTTGTGTAATGTTACTATTCAGTTTCAAAATCACAATAAAATGTTTTACTGTAACAATATGATTTTTGTTCACTGTTGAGAGAATAACTGCACCAATGCGAGCACTACATGTATTTATCAGTTCTTAATAAATCAAATATATTTCATGAAGTTTGTCTGGTTCAGACAGGTGTTTGAATGTTAATGTATGGGACAGGGTTGCTGAATCAGTGGTGATGCTGAGAATGTCCTGCACACAGAAGATAGATGGTGGCGCAACTTGTGCGTGTCTGGAGTTGCGGTGTCCGTGATGCAGGAACCACATGAAAAACATTATTTTACAGTTAAAGGTGCACTAAGCGATTTTTGCCAAACGATGTTGATGTTTGTTTTGGTGCTTTCAAATACGTCCATACCCCAACAGGACCTCGCCCTTATTTTGAAATCTCCGCCCCACACGTACGTACACAACCATGGCAACGACGATCGCGGAAACAAGTGAAGATGACACACAAGCATATTCAAACAAAAGCCAACACGGATAAGTTGTGTGAAACAAAGCAAAGTCAACGTTACTCACCTATCAAGAAGAAACAACGCAACCTCAGGGTCCGCTTCCAGGCCTTCCCGCTCCTTGAGTTTCTCTTCACTGCTGCAAAGCTGCTCAGATATTTATGCGGGTCCTGCCTCTTGCCTGATCGTAACCCTTATTTTTAATGTTTTGTTTCTCTGATATTTTCCTCTTTTTTATATGCCATCTCTCTCTATCTATAGTCCATCTGCTAATATCCATCCTGTGCACTCAAACTGAGCGCTCTCTTCTCTATGTCATTACAAGACATGCCCCTCTACTGCTGATTGGCTACAAGTGTGTTTTGGGATTCGGTCCGACGCTGTGACCAAATGCATTTTTCAAAAATCGCTTAATGCACCTTTAAATCGTAAAATGATCTTACTCTTTTTATAGCCTACAGTTCCTAATGCTGCACTACTGGTTATCATGCTTATTACTTACAATGTGAAGGTTATATATTATTAATTTAATTCCAAGTTTACTCTCCAAGTGTTACTTTTTAAATATTTATCAAAACATTATCAAGGTCAGTTTCATGTTGGTCAGCCATATGCAGTAAAGAGAAAAAGGGTTAAAAACTAGCCCTAAAGAGTACATTTACTGCACACAAATGAATACTAACACCTGATCTCATTTCTGGATGGTCAGTGATACTGTAGATTATATACTTAACAGTTTTCCTGAAATGAAGTTCCAAACGTATGTTTGGAAGAAGCCTAATCATTCAGTCCTGACAATAATCATTACGAGCTTATATTAGCAGCAGTCATTGTGTCGTCCCAGCAACAATTCTTCTGCCATCCCTCCACCTCCCCATCTTCTCCATTTCTGTTATTCTCCTTCTATATAGTGGGGGGGGTTGAACCATTGCTTCCATTGTTCCGGCGCTGGAGCAGATGTAGTCAAGAATGGCTCTATTGAGCGATTGAGGTGTTTTGTGTCGACATCTGATCCGCTGAAAGGGATATTTCACCCAAAAATGAAAATTCTGTCATTAATTACTCACCCTCATGTCATTCTAAACCCGTAAGACCTCTGTTCATCTTCGGAACACAGATTAAGATATTTTTGATGAATTCTGAGAGCTCTCAGACCCTCCCATAGACAACAATGTAATTACCACGATCAAGGCACAGAAACGTAGCAAGGAGATCGGTAAAATAATCCATGTGACATCAGGGGTTCAACCGTAATTTTATGAAGCTACAAGAATACTTTTTGTACGCAAAGAAAACAAAAATAACGACTTTATTCAACAGTTTGTCTCCTCCACGTCACCCTGCTGCCATTTTGGAGAATATCCACTGAACGTAAACAGTGTACGCTGTTCTGTGTCAGCTGCGTCACGCGGATACGTTGTCACATGGATTATTTTACCGATCTCCTTGCTACGTTTCTGGACGTTGATCGTGTTAATTACATTGCTGTCTATGGGAGGGTCAGAGAGCTCTCAGAATTCATCAAAAATATCTTAATTTGTGTTCCGAAGATGAACGAAGGTCTTACGGGTTTGGAACGACATGAGGGTGAGTAATTAATGACAGAATTTTCATTTTTGGGTGAACTATCCCTTGAAGACGCAGTGGATTACATTTGTTTCTGAAGGGAATGTGCCCCCCGATCTGCCTAAATGCGTCTATGTTCGCGCCAATCATTCGTGATCCAGCTTCACCTACAGAAGAAGTGAGTATAAGGTTCTTTTATGAATATTTGCAAATCACCTTTTCTAATCACGTGCTAGTTAGCAAGTTCCGTGGCTAAAGTAAACAGTCTCATGAGAACGGCTCGTCACCCCACGGAATGGAGGGCCGGGGTGAGCGGAGCTCATTAGCATTTAAAGGAACATGCACTAAAATGGGTTGCTGAAAACAGCTGTTTTTGAGCTCTGGTAAAAAAAAGGGTGTTGTTTTACACTACCATTGAGAAATAAAAAAAAATAATTTACTTTTCATTAAGACCCTAAAGAATCATATCAACTTGTGGAAAATGGGCATCCGGTGACCCCTTTAACAATCAGGACTGGATGGGCAGGTGAAGTCATGAAACATTTGTCAAAGCAAAAGGAGAAATAAAGCACCTTCATTTCATTTGATTCAGAAGCATATTTCACACTTAACTTAGATGTTTATTTTATGTTCAGAAGATTGAAAATTGCAAGCAACATGGCTGTGTTTGTGTGGGACCTCATAGTAGTGAAGTGACTTTTCAACCAGATACACACATTTATCAAATAAAGTATTCAAAGATTTACATTCTGTTCAGTTAAGCCCCTGTAAACGTGAAGAAATAATAAAATTTAATTTAAGTTTTTTCGGTAACGCTTTAGATTGCAGCCCGCAATTTACAGCGTAAGTAAACAGAAATTACAGCATAACATTTTTGTCATTATAGATTTATAGAATAAACTGTGTATTATAACAATTTGACAGGATTTTACCATCTTTGATTTACTGTTTTGATCCTCAAGCACCATTTTGACTGTTCAGTTCTGGGCTTTACCACTCATCAGTCATCGTTCAACGTTGTTAGAAAAACACAATCCAGTCAAATTTCAAAAATCTCTCTCCTTTTCGCTTTGATTAGTTTTCTTATATTTTCCACACATATTACTGTCATGAGCACCACAATCATGATAGACTCGTCTCAAGCGAGTCCTCCACATTCCTAACCCAGTACCGTTGGGTTACTTATTACTATTATCAACCCAAATTGGGTCAAATCAAGCCAGCTTCCTTATCCAACCGTCTCAACCGAGCTTTTGGATTGAAACAATAACCCAGTGTCTTTTTTATACGTGTACTATTAAAAGGTACACACTGTATGCATTTGCTAAATCGCTTGCAAATATAAAACTGCTGTTTAGCATAGTAGGTCATACATACCACGTAATATTAGAATAGGTAGCCCCTTAGTTTCAAAATACTTACAGTATAGATAATTTGTAATTTTCCAGGTTGTTACCCCCTTATTCCCCAAACTTCACATTTTATTCCATTATTATTTTATTCATATTTTATAGTGTACTGTATAGGTGCACTATAGTTACAAAAAAGAGTTGTGCTGTAAATTGTGGGCTCTACTCTAAAGCGTTACCGTTTTTTTCTTCTTTTTTTTTTGCAAAGCATAAGTTTCATTGTCAACTAGTGCTGTGCAATTTATGAACACACTTACAGGACAAATATAAAACCACTGCATATACAAGTCCTGATTTACGCAAGAGTTCAGGGAACACAATCTCAAACATGATGAACAGTTGTTTGCATAGAAAAGTTCACTTAATCTGTCCACATTTTGAGATGGTGATAGTTTTCGTGGGTTTCCCATCTTTAGCGCCCAGCTCTCCGATTCTCCTCACCACATCCATGCCCTCTTTGATGAAGCCGAAGGCCACGTGCTTGAAGTCCAAGTGCTCTGCTTTCTTGAGGGTGATGAAGAACTGTGAGTTGTTGGTATCTCTGCCACGGTTGGCCATGGACAGCAGCCCCGGCCCTGTGCGCCTCACCTCGAAGCACTCGTCTTCAAACATCTTTTCATAGATGGATTTTCCTCCCGTCCCATCCTGGTTGGTGATATCACCACCCTGAGTGACAGCAGGACAAAACACGTATTTAAATAGCCCAAAAAACCAAAGCTAGAAGCAGAAACTCCAGATATTTCAGACCGTCACCATGAACATCTCTGTTTATATCTAGTGTTTGATATGTTTAATTCATGATGTTCAATATTGACCCGTCTTGCTCCAGACGTTCAGCAGATCTAGATTCTTTGATTACTCTTTGTTAATATTTAGAATAATATTTTTTTATATGTTCTGTTTTTATTTGACTTTTTTTTTTTACATTTTGTTGTGTTTTTGTCATTTTTATTTTTACATCATTTTTATTTGTTTATTTATAACTTTAAGTCTATTTAGTTTTAGTTATTTTAGTTCTTCAGATTATTTGGAATCAGTGCCCTGGAAGAATTTAGAATAATATATATATATATATATTTTATAGCAGTTAATGTTTATTTTATTTTATACAACAGTTACTTCTGGTGCTGAAATCTGATTAGCTGAGAAGTCTTTCCAGCTGTGTGTTAAGACCCGCTCACACCAAGAACAATAACGATAACTGTAACAATAAAGCTCTAAAAATTGTTCTAAATGTAAGAGAGTAGACGTTTACACCACAACTATAACTACACAGAGGGATAAAATCATTGGGATCACTTTCAGAACGATTTTTCCACCTGATGAACAATATAAAACATCGACAACTAATCAGAACTCATTATTAATTTGTATATTGTAATCTTAATTAATTTGTAATCTTAATTTGTATATTGAAAACAAGCTCATTCTTATTCTAAAAATCTCAACACATTGGATAAGGCAGCCTATGTAAAACTGTTTATGGAGCAGGTAAAATTCTTATAATTTATGTTTTTGTTGTTTTGAAGAAAAAATAAGTTAAAGAGTAAAATGTGAGATTTCTCATTTCATAAAACTTTTTTTTTTTTTTTGAGCATGTAGTACATATTAATAGATAACATGTTATGTTGTAGGCCTAAGTCACCCAACCAAGATTTTTTGTTTGTTTAAAACAAAACAACAAAAACAAATCCGGCCATCATTTTAATTAATATTTTAATGTTTAAGTTATGAATGCTGTTTATGTACCCCCCATCTCTATCTCATTATACTCTACTACACATAATACAGTGAGCTTTTAATACAATGATAAACAAGCTTTCAATGAAGCAACTCAACGTTCCTTCGTTACTAGTTCTAAAGTGACGTTTTCGAATTAGAGTCTTCGTCTCAAACTGTCAAACTGAGATTTGAATCTGTGGTGGAGGGAAATAGATCGTCACACAAAAGGTGGTTGTTTCTTATTTATTTACACACTTGTTCCGTCACACTGTTGTTTAAAAGCAATATCACACGAGTAGCCATGCAATATTGTGATTTCGGATTAAAATGGCAGAGAGGAAGGCTGCCATGTCACGAGTTCCTGCAACACTTTATATTATGTTTTAACTTTAATTGTTTTCACTGCGGATTATCAGTGCTATTATTAATGCTGTTATTATCAATATGTATGATCGTCAAACCCTGCTAGACATGGGAACAACCACTGGAACTTGGGAAAGTAACTTTAAACCACAGTTCAGTGACCACTTGTTCACAGATGTGGTTCAGGTAAACAATAGTGTGGCCCCACTCACTTGGACCAATCGCCCACGCAAGCATCGCCAGAAAAGAGGCAGGCCAGCCAGCATGTTGTTCAAATCACATTGACAGATGCAGACCAATGCCGATGGTCACCAGATTACAATACGTCAATTCTCAGACCTTCCAAGACCCAGCAAACAGCAATTTAACATGTTCCATTGGTGAAAAGAAGTGTCAAACAATCCCAACAGACGCCAACAGGGTTAACACACTGATCAGAAAAAATTATCTGTCAGTGCAGTGTGAATCGGCCTCTACTGCCAGTGATTTGTTGTTTTGCACCACATCCAGTGTTGGGTTCTGTTGTCTTTAGCTTCGTTGCGCTGCTCACATCATGTTTCAGACACAGCGAAAGCATAACAATTGCAGGTGTTTTTACTGCAAGTTTTTCAATAAAAAAAAAAAAATCAGTTTTCATAATTAAAAAAAAAAAAAAGTTTAAACATTTTAAAAATAGATTTTGACCAAAAATGTTTGAGAACCATTGTGTTAAATTATCAAAATATGCAGAAAACTCTGGAGCAAAATGAGGCTATGTTCACACTTGGCGTCTTTTTTTAAGCTGCCAGTGTCTGTTTTACATTATAATTCTATGGAGTAAACTGTGTTATCAAAAAAGTCCTGAGTGCTTTTTAAAATGCCACCGCCGGTGTCTTTTTCTGCAGCTCAGAGCGTCTTTTCAAGCTGAAAAAAGTTCCAACTTTTCTTAAAAAAACAAAAAAAAAAACACCCTACGTCAAGCGCTTTTTGACAGCTGACCAATGACAAGCGAGTAGCAAGTCAGTGAAGTGAAGTGGCTCTGCATTTAACCCATCCAAGAGCACACACATAGTAGTGAACACACACACACCGTGAACACACACCCGGAGCAGTGGGCAGCCATATTGCTACGGCACCTGGGCAGCAGTAGGGGGTTCGGTGCCTTGCTCTCAGTCGTGGTATTGAGGGTGGAGGAGAGCGCTGTACATTCACTCCCCCCACCGGACCTGAGACTCGAACCCGCAACCTTTGGGATACAAGTCCGACTCTCTAACCATTAGGCCACGACTGCCGAAGTCGTTTCCCTAACAACAAAAACAATAAGAAAAAAATTGAGAAGATAGCCGGTGGATAGATCGTACTAGTTTTGGAGCACAAGGAGTTGATATGAGCACAAAACTCTATCTCTTCCGGGTCATTAGCCGCTATAGCTAAATAACGAGAAGAATAACAACGTGCAGTAAACGGTAAAACTGTTTGCACTACATTAAAATAATATGGTAAGACACCAGTTTTCAATATCAAGCAGCAAAACAAACTGTTTTGTACAGCTAAAAATAGCTGGACGCGGATGAAACCGGAAGCTAGACCCATAGAATTTACAAATGGCTGCACCCATTTTTACGGCAAGAAAAAGCTGGATACCGCCAGTGTTGGGAGTTTATTACTTTATTACAAAAGTAATAATATTACAGTAGTATATTACGTTTTGCTGTAACGCAGTAATATAACGCATTACTAATAAAATTTGGGTAATATTATTACTCATTACAATCTCAGTAACGCAAGTTACAACAACATATTTTAACTCTAAATTAAGTGGTGAATTTACTAACACCGCAAAACAGCACCGGAGAAAAAAATTCCGCGGGTAAAATAGTTTGTCTATCTTCTGTTGCTGGAATTAGATGGTACAAGCAACAAAAATTAAATGTAACTAAAAATAACAAAATCTGTTTTTATTAAATCATAGTCTATATGTAAAATGAATGAATATGCGAAATATTTGACTTAAATAGCCTAATTAACAGATTAACAAAACGAAAAGAAAAGACTGAGAGATAGGCTACGCTGCTGAGTTTGGCTATTTGTGTGGCGCGGCGCTCTACGAAAGTCCAAAGAAAGGAATCCGAGATGACAGAAATAAAAGTAAACACACTGCAGTTTCGAATGATCTGTATGACCAAAAATTACTTTTTTTGTTGTTTGTTTCCGCTGTTCCATCGCGCCGGCGCCTCACGCACACACATAGCCTACATCATTGCAAACGTTGCAGCCTGTTCATTATCAGAATAAAATACAGTCAGTCAACCAAACATATAGCTACACTGGTTAATTTAAATAGTGCGTACTGTGTAGTACAATCCGTGTCGTTCAGCCTCTGGCCAAACACACATTTTGCTCATGTGACGAGGCTGTTTTTTAAGCGCGTTAAGTAAGCCAGCTTTACATAATAAATAATAGTTTAGCATTCAAATACATCGCAAATATGAACACATTTAATTGGATTAATGCCGAATGAGAGAGGTAGGCTGCGCGAGAATGCCGTTTGCTTTCAGTTTCGCATTGAATTAGCCTAATTTTGGCTTGTTTAGCAACTTATATTTTTCATTATTTTCTTCTGAAACCGTTCAAAATAGCCTATAGGCTAGATATTGTGTTTATTGTTTGTACATTATTAATTAATTTACCGGTGTTATTTATGAATGTAATAATGCGGTGTGTGCTTATCTGTGTTTAACCTAAACTACAACATTAAGTGAAAAAGTGAAAGTGACGTGACATGTGGCCAAGTATGGTGACCCATACTAAGAATTAGTGCTCGACGACTTCCCCCAAAACACTTAGCAAAGGATGGTTAATGTAGACCTACACACCGGTATCTAAATATGATTTTATAATTTTATGCTATAGACCTACCACATTACCCTCCACTGGATGTAGAATGAGCAGCAATATATTTTGGTGAAAGTAACTCAAAAGTAGTGTAATGCATTACAATTTAGAGACAGTAATATTGTAATGTAACTAATTACTTTCAAAGACAGAAACTAGTAATATATAATGCATTACATTTTGGAAGTAACTTGCCCAACACTGGATACCGCAAACGGTGCATCATCCAACCGGAGCTCCTGGACTAAATTGCTGTAAGCACCATACTGTTTCCTTCCCCGTATAATGTCGCGCACCCACAAACGTCATTATGAACCGACATTCTCCTCCCCGTTAACTTCAAAAGCCAACGCAAGAGCCAATTTCTCGACATTTCTGCACCACACACTAGGCTACTATTGTAGCTGTTGTTATAGCCCTTGGCTGCTATTTGTAACCAAAACACTGCCAGCTTTTTATTTTACTAAAAAAGCTCTCGTCAACTTTTTCTTGTCAAAAAAGACGCCAAGTGTGAACATGCCCTAACTTGCCCATTATTGACAGATGTGCGTTATTTGTTGATTTTATAGAGAACAATTGCAATAATGATTGTTTTGACAATGAGCATCTAATTAAATTTCTGATGCATGCTGTGTTTTCATAATAACATAATAACAGTGGGTTCTCACCTGACACATGATGCCCGGGATGATCCTGTGGAAGACAGACTGGAGGTAACCGAAGCCCTTCTCTCTCGTACACAGAGCCCGGAAGTTCTCCGCCGTTTTGGGGACAATGTGAGCGAAGAGCTCCATGACGATTCTCCCAGCATCCTCACCATCTATGGTGATGTTGAAGAACACCACAGGGTTGGACTCTTTTGAAAGCGCCTCGGCGGCAGATGTCTGAGCAGCGTCAGTCTGCGACATGCGGCTCTGGCAGTCTGTGAACGCTCGTCTGAAGGACTCGGCCAGCTCTGGAGTCTTGAACTTGGCCGCCAGCTGCTCAACTTTCCCGTCTCCCTCTGTATGTGTGAACAAACATGCAGATGTGAAGGCACCAGCAGGAGAGATATGTGTATGAGGTGAGGAGCGAGGCCTGTACCGGAGTAGTCGGTGGCGGTCCACACCAGCGCGTTAGCCGAGATGTTCATGGGCTTGAGCTCGATGCTCTTGCTGATGGTGTGGTTGGCGCAGACATTTAGCACCTGCTCGCGTCTCATCACCACACGGTAGCGCTTTTTCACGGGGTGGTAGAGGATCTTGATGTCTCCCACGCCACGCTCCTTCCACTGATTGAGCTCACGATCCCAACGGTACAGTTTGGCTCTTTCTTTGAACAGGATCTCTTCGTCCTCCTCACCGGACTTCACCTCCACCTGCAGGAGAAACATCAGCACATGTCACACTTCTCTAGAGACGTGAAGATCAGAGCTAACAGCATTACAGCAAACGCTCACCTCAGGCAGAGACACGATCGGCTCAAAGTGGATCTCGTCATTATCACCATCACCATCAATGCCCTCCTCTTTTTCTTCATTTTGTGTCGCTGCACATCCAAAAACTTTGGCTCCGGCGTTTGACCATGTAAAATTAGGATCTGTAGAAAAAGAAAAAGAAAGAGCTGAAAACATCACACTGCCAACATTAATACTGACAGCAGCAGTATGCTAACATATACTAGCACTTTTATAATACTAATTCATATTAATACTTCCAGTGAAGTCAGACACATGCAAAAAAAACTAACATTATGAATAGCTTATAAAACAAGATGTTTGAAAAGTTTGAGCTTGTTCACAGACTTTAGACAACAGGCCTGAGCAGTAGCATGACATCAGAAAACATAGCCTGTCAGGAAAATGCATTATTATAAATTGCAATAAATGTACATCATTCAATCTTCAGGTCATAAAAATTGAATGATGAAATGTAGGTCTTTAAAAACAACCAAAAAGACTTTATGATATGCTTAAGGACATCATTTCCCAAAGTCAAACAAAATTAGATTAGATTAGATTAGATTAGATTAGATTAAATTAGATTAGATTAGATTAGATTAGATTAGATTAAATTAGATTAGATTAGAATATAATACAAATAACATTGACCTGTGTGTTTTAGGCAGCATTAATTGCATTTACTGTATGCAATAAAAACACTATTTATTATCAGAAGACAATTATTAGGCACTGACCGTTTTTGGCAAATGCAAATTCCTCTTTACTCTTGACCATGTCTGCAAATGAAAACAAACTTGCAGATGCAAATCCCAAAGAAACACCTGCTGGAGCAGAGCAAACACACGTCACAAACTACACAAAAAACACAAAAACAACATTCAGCAGGCAAATTATTTAAAGCTTGTTTGAGTGTCCCTTTACTTTACTCTTAGACCCTGACCCTCACTCATCATGCTTTTTATCCTGTCATTGTACTTTTTATCCTGTCCTGTCTGAATAGGGCCAACAGAAGAACACACACACACACACATACTGTATATATATATATATATATATATATATATATATATTACTGCTCTCATAGAACTTTGCCTTGTCATAAGAATAAAATAAAATAAAGTTTAGCACAGCAAAAATAGACGTAGCACAACAAAAGTAATCTGCATGCAATGTTCTGGTTGCCATGACAACCTCACATGTTTGCTGTCGATCTAGCAAAGTCACTTCAATATGGAGTGAGGTTTGGCCCCCGGAGCTCCAAAGTCAAGCTACTCCTGTGCTTGAATGTTTAAACTGGCAAGACTGAAAAACGTGCAAATGCTAAACCCGACCGGGCCAGTATAGTTCAGTCGACCGTCCCAGCCATGGCCAGACCTCACTGTTGAGCCCTGAGACCTGAACCAGTCTCAGTAATGCATTTCACAAGAGCAACCTACCATGATCAGACACTCCATCAGCTCCATCCACATACGGCTTTCCCTTCAGATTCCTCACTGCGCTTTCAGAACCTTCATCTGTGCAACAGAGTGAAAATACACTGGTGTATATCTGAGGTGAATAATTTCACATAATGACACAGACCGTCTTATTTAGTTAGAAGCTGTGGATGCTAGGCATGGCAATCAAAAGCATATGCAAATGAGCGTGCGCTTTCAGGAGTTTAAGTGCACTAAATGACTGGAGAAATTTTGCATATGATTGACACTTCACCAGAACATCCAGATATGACATTGTTATCACAGCCCGGCTTGAATTTATGGATTTGTGTTAATAAATAAAGACAAGTCCCACCCTATAGTTTTTCACATTCTTAAAGCTGTTTCACTCAGAAATATGTCAGAATACAGAAATCAATCAGCCATAACTACTGTAACAGGACACTACTTACAGTATGAGTGGTGAAATCAAAAATCTAAATGGCAAGATGTAGTAGAGGTTTGCTTTTGTTACATTTAAATTGATGTCGCTTTTTCTAGCTGTTAAGGTTCAAACAAGCCTAAGACATTGACTTAATAACAAAGGGAATGGCAAAACTAAAGGATTTAGGCTTACCAGTATTGAGGGGACTATTATCGTGACCGCAAGCATCTACAGACTGATCTGAGGAACTTGGGGCTGCCTCTTTTTCTTCCTCTTTGTGAACTTCAGCAACATTTTTGAGGAGGTCTGATGTAGATCCATTTTGTGACTGTTTGTCTGATGTTTTTGCCTCAGATTTTGCAGTACCAGAGCTGAATACACCAACGGACACTGGCATGGAAAATGAAACATTTGAACTGCTTGATGACTTTTCAGCCTCAGTTGTAGGGGACTCAATCTTGAAGCCTTCTGAGGATGCTTTATCAGTTCTTGTACTGAACTGAAAAGCATTGCCTGGATTGGCTTTAAATGCAGTCACAGCAGGTTGGCAGACAGAACTACCAAAACTGGAGGTAAAAGAGGAACTTGACGGAGCAGCAGAGGTCTTGTTTTTCAAACTTGGTTTTGCCGTCTGACACAAAATGCTGTGGCTAGATGTAGCCTTATTTCCTCCTAGGCAAGTGTCACCATCCCTCTGTCCATCTTTTTTAGTCAAAAATAACCCTCCTTGAAGCGTTGCATGACTTTTTTCAGTGCTGCAGGGGGCAGTGTCACATGGGACCGCTGGAGCTGCTGACACTTTCTTATGTTGTGGTGCATCGGCCTGAATTGTTTTCTTCTCAGCCTGAGCTCCAGAGCCAGCAGATGTCACTACAGCATCCTTCAATCCAAACCCAAAAGAACCTGGTTTTTGAGATCCAGATGTGAAGCCCTTCAAGCTGACATCAGTGCTGGCGGTGTTCTTAGCAGAATCTCCAGACAGTCCAATAGAAAACAATTTAGCTGGAGGAGCCACTGGAGCAGAGCCTTTGAGTTCCTCTACAGGTTTCAGCTTTGCTGTAGAAGGAGTTATGAGATCAGTAGTTTTGGATGAAATCTGAGGATATGCTGGAGACTGGTTGTAGCACGCAGAGAGACCTGTAGTAGAAGCAACTGAGACAAATAAAAGGAATGGTTTTAAATGGGTCTTAATTATTGTATACAAATATGGTTCTCTTTTTTTGGTAACAGTCATTCTCCATTCTCCAGGTTTTATGAAGGTAAATCTAAATCCTTTTTATGACCTTGTCAAAACCAATTAAAAAAGAGAGAGAGAGAAATAAACTGACACATATCTTCCTATATATGACACAATATGTCAATATGCTCTCTGTATGTTCAAATGTATAACAAAAAGTACATATTTAGGGCTTTATGATTTTATTTTTTTTTCTCTTAATTGAATTCATAAAACAACTTTTGGACGTTTATTAACTCATTTACAATAATAGGGCCCTAAGAATTTTTTCTTTTTTTCTAAAAGTTTGTTTGTTTCCCCAGATATTTGCATTGTATATTGTAACTTTTCTGGTAATCAAATGAAGGCGTAAATCATTAATTTCATTTATCTTTTAACCAAAAGAATATTAAACATTTTTTTTTTTTGGTAAATAAATTGCTGCACAACACAGGTCTACTGTTATAATTAAAACATGGAAGAAAATTGTGTGATTATTCCTTAAAAATGAAATTGTAATAATAATTTTATAGTAGTATTAAATTCAACAACGTCGTTTGCACTGCGTGCGCTCTTCCGTTACTTGATCTTTTTATTTTGGTGCGACACTCTGTTAAGTTACTTAGTATAGTTACTTTATAATTGTTGTACATATGGAGTTGCATTCACATTCGAATTAAAAAAAACTTCTCAATTTCACATTTCTAAAAAACGTATTATTGTTTATGACGATGTATTTCTGATGTTTTTAATTACTGAATTTTCCATTGTTATACAATGTGAAGTTAATGGGTGGAGTAGATATGGATGATTGTCTATTTAAAATGTTGGTTTGTATAATAGTGATACATATGTGATCCTAGATCATTCTTGTTTTAGTCACGGATATATTATGTGGTGTACTAGTGGATGTGATGTTTTGTGTTGGTTATATACATGACAATTGTCCAGTATTTAAATGGAAATGATTTAATGAGGCTAATTGAACATATGCTAATGAACGATGACATCAAGATAATTAGTGATTTAAAAGTGGGTGGAGGGATTGAATTGCTTTGCACACTGAGGAAGGCTTTGAGCCGAAACGTTTGTGTCTTTTCCCATCAACGATGAATGTAAAATAAAAGGAAAAAAGAAGACTGTTCTTGTGAGTGCGGATCATAATTTCCTATAGTAGTATTAAATAAAATAATAATAGTAGTATCACTTGTAATAATAGTAGCATAATTACTTTATTACCTAGGTACATCTGAGACATATTAAATCTTGTAAAACGTGGCATAATAGGTGCCCTTTAAACATATGTGGCACAGACCGATAGAACCATAAATAAAATCTCTAATGTATTTGTAAATATGTCATTTATTATATCATACTAGGGTTGTGACAGTGAGGAAATTTTCCCACCGGTTAATCGACGTGTGACAACACCGGTAATACCGGTATCACTGCGGGGGCGGGGCGTTCTCTCTTTTCCTCGCTTTCCGTAGCGTTTAAATAGCTTGTAAAAGCCGTGCGCATTCTACTTTCACTTTCGAATTAGCGGCAGTTAGGCGTCAATTGCTTGAATGCAACAACAAAATACAACGTCAAACTCACTTTAGTCTATATTTAAAACATAGAACTTTTATTAACAAAACAAATAAAAATACACCATGCTATAGGGCAGGCTATGCCTAATATAAAATAACAAATAACTCACAAGGCGCTTTTGAATCTAGTTTCGAAACTAAATCATCCGCGATCGTCTTGTCTGTCTCACCTCACTTTTCTTGTCAGTCAGCTCGACTCACTCTCCTCACTGGAGAAATTAAATCTGATCTGTGATGCGACTGTTGTTCGGCACTCTGCATTGAGCAGCCGCATTCATTTTTTAATTGTAGTGTCTGTTCTTTTACTGAACTAAATGATTTTTATTACTATAAAAGATCAAAACGACGGTGGGGGTCGGTGCTGCGGTGGGCAAGTGATGTAAAAGGTGTTGCGGCTTAACAACGGTATCACCATCAGCACCGTCTATCGCGGTATCATACATGTAAACACATACCTCCTGTGTAAATTGTTTATTCACATATATCCTAAAACATGATTGTATACAAGTAAATATAAAAGATATACATGTTAAAAATGTATAAGAATAAAAACTTATAGGAAATGTATAAGAAAACTGTATAATAAATACATATGCTGTATGTCGTGCTGACCCACGACTGCACACCGTCACACAACTCCAACCTCTTCATTAAGTTTGCGGATGACACGACTGTAGTGGGTCTCATTAGCAACAGAGATGAGACAAACTATAGGAGCGAGGT